AGCGAGCCTGACTCGTCTTTGCTCGTGTGAGGGCACCATGCCGAGTAAAAAGGAAAAATCACGTTCTTCATCAGCACTTCATAGTGAAATTTAAGTTGTCAGTTCCTCCCAGGAAATCCTGATGCAACACCCAAACTGTCCCTGTGAACTGGCGCTTGGTGAATGTTTAATTATGCTGAGGAACAAACACACGTTGCTGCGTGGGGGCTGTGAGGAGCCATCCAAGCTGCATGCTAAGCTTCTCTGTCCCAGAAGCAGTTTCTTCAATAGCATTTGCTTATCAAAAACAATTAGAGGGAGGAATGCTGGAACTGTGATTATGAAACAAATGGTAAATCTATTTGCTCAGACGAAATGTATTGAAAGATACATCTCGACACAGCTGGAGACTGAGGTGATACCGCAAGGATAACAACTCGAGATCCAATTTCATCTTTCATGATTAAAAAATGAGCAAGAAAGTGTTTTATGAAATGTGAAGGTTAACAAATGTTCCTTCACAAGCAATGACGACAGTTTATCTTTTGAAACAAATGATGATGCTATGGTCTGCTAGCAGCTCCTGAAATACATTTGAAAGATTTCTTCTAAAAACCCACAGAGGACCAGCGCACGCGGCTGGCAGCCCACCGCGCCGCCAGCGCCTCGGACAACGCCGGCTCCAAAGCTTCGACGGTGCAGCGGGGTGGGAGCCAGCCGTGGTCCTGCCCCCGTGCTCTGCCCCGAGCCGATGGCACCAGTCCAGAAGCAGAGCTTCGCCCCACAGCTGCGAAGAGGGGCTCTCAGCTCGGCAATACCTGCTCAGAGGGGAGGGGTGCCACAAGCAGGGACCCAAACTTGCAGACTAACAACCTCCTCTGCTGAATTTCTAAGCTGCCCAGAACATTCCGGAACCCTATACACTGCTGCCTCTGCAGAGATAGGGCAAGTGTGAGCCTGGTGCTGGGTGGTAACGGTTGGGTCTTTGTAGCCCCGGGCAGGAACAAGCCTGCTGCGGGCTGGCAGATGGAGATGGTGCAAGGGGAGGGGAAATCACATCTCACCAGGTGATGGAGCACATATCACCAAACTACACACTCAGCTCACAGGCAAACTCAAAGAAACATTGGTCTATGAAGAGATTATGAAACACCAATTTTTTCTCCTGGTCATTACACAGCAATATTCCTTTGGATATCAGATATAAAAGATACATATATTTACATTTCTGAGTGCCTAATCAGTCTAGCTTTTAATATTTCACGTGATGGTTGACCTACTAAACATCAATACAATATTCAACCTGTTCTTATTCAGACGTACAGAGGAAGTGGCCAACAATAAATTCCTCTGACTGTCCTCCAGACAAAGTAGTCCCTGTTTACGGTGCGAGTACAGTGTGAAGTATGAGAACTTATTTTTAGAAATGAATTCTGCTAAAATTTGACTAGTAGAACAGAATATTGCGAGTTGTGTAACAAGGAAAAAAATAAAAAATATGTGGATAGAGACTGTAAAACTATTAAAGTGAAGGAATTATATAATGATGGGAATGGGTAATTCTCCAAGAAGAAAAATTCAAATTACCAGGAGTGAAAAGACAGTAGAGAAGAAGGTGATGGCAACCTTAGTTCCTTCTATTAATAGAACTAATAGTTAAAATTGAGAAAGAAATATTATGTAGAGAAAGCAACAGAAGATGTTTGAAAGTAAAAAAAAAAAAATTGCTTTATACTTCCATAAAATACAGGCCTGCATAGCAATACCCTTATTCCTGTCCTAGGAACCTGAAGGGGTTTCTTACCATCAGGAAAACAGAATCCAGGAGTTTGGCAGATTCCCCAAATAGTATAAACCTAAATTTAGTTATTAATGAGAACACAAAACTTCATAGCTGTAAAGCTGGCTAAACAGCTGAACGGTAGTTAACAACTGTGTTACAGAATTTACGTTATTCCTTCCTACCCAACTCTTGGTTAAATTTCCTGGGATATGACAATTATATTGTTCTTCCCAACAATAACCACCAACCAACCAGCCAAAATTCTAATGGTCAAAGCTGCTTATAATGAACTGAATTCAGAGAGGGGGAAAATATTTAAAGTAGGAAGCAGTAAGGACCCCCCTGCCCGCTGATGAAATCAGCTAGTAGCATAATGTGTGTATGCATAGCCATCATCGGAGGAGGTTAAGGCTAGCCAGAGGCCTGGAGGTGACTGTGCAGCCAGTTGCAGGGTTTGGTACTCTTCTGCAATCTGGGCAGATGCCCCCATTTTTACTTGCAATACCTACAATTACTTTAGCACAGAGAATGTCTGGCGCAGTTTTACTGAGCCACATAAGCCTTCCCTCCACAATTAACCATGCTGCACAAATAGCATGGTTATTAATCCTCTTGGTGGGACAGGGATTGTTCTAACCCAACAAATGGAGGCAGAGGGGCTACGAGACCCCTTTCAGGCACAGAGCAGGTTTGTTTCAGAGAGCACGCTGAACTGCTGCTGTGACAGAAGCTGTACAGACATGGTCAAACACCAGCCCCAACTGTTGTCTCCCATGTTTCATGTCATGCATTGACCTCTCTTCTCAAAGATGGGATGTGGGTCATTTCCTGGGGTCTGCAACTCCTGGCTTCTTTCCCATCTCTAGTCATGCCATCTGGGGACCAGTGAGAACATCACAGGTTAAGTTTTTCTACCTCAAGCAGCATTCTCAGGATAAACCATGGAAAGAAAGATATGCTGTACAGCTGCAGTGATAAAAAGGTTCTTCTAAGTTTAGCAGCATCAATACTGCTCTCCTTCAGCACTTTAACATGTCTGATTTGATGCCACATGCTATTTTTCTTATGAAACCAGAACAAACCGAAATTAATATGGTGCTCATTAAATGGACAAAACATGGGGCAGCGCACAGGTCTCCAACAACAAATGTAAATGGGTGTCACCATTTATTTGAGTGTTTCTAATAGAGTTCTGTAACACGCAGAAGAACGCTGAATATCTGTCTTTCAGGTCAGATTAAGAAAACCCCCAAAACCACACAAACAAAAAACCCCACAGAATACTGTTTATCAAGTGCACAAATAACAAAGTCTAGAGAAGTGATAAATAATGAAGAGGAGGATGACGGATGGAGAGACGTGGATTGCCTGGCAAGCTGGGTGCAAACAAGACAAAGAAAAGATAAAGTATAAACAAGATAAAGTGTAACAAAACTTTCCAGAAATTAATGCAGCCTAAGCTTTTTGGAAGGAAAACTATTCCTGGAAGAAGCTTCCTTAGAGGTTTTGGGGGTCATTGTGATTAGTACCCATCACGACCCAAAAGTGAAACTATGATGAAAAAAAGTTGTGCAGTCCTCAACATGGGAAGATCAAGAGCTGTTATATTCTTCATTGACACATCAGAATTATGCCCATAACACTGGAAGGGTACAGCTGAACTGACAGAGGGTCGATGAAGAACCCAAATGTGAATCTGGGGTTAGAAATCTGTGTGTTAAAGAACCTTCTGGAGATCATTTTTTTTTCTGCTTAGCACAGAGATGGTTAAGGATACTTACAGAGCAAGTGATTTGTGGCTTTAGTAAAAACTCAGACTTAAGACAAGGTACAAAAATTATTTCATGATAGTGAAGAAAGTTAACTGTTTCCTCATTGTACCCTTTCCACCCTTCCAAAGGCTCTTTAACCTGACTTCCCCCTTCAGATATGTTCCACCCGTGCCCAAGGTCCTCCTCATTTACATTTTGGGGACACATCCCACCTAACCCAGTGTGGACCTGTGACTGCTGCCTGTGTGGCAGAATTTCAGCTGAGACATTTCACATGTGGCCTGGAGGGTGTCAACCCAAACAGGAGCAAAAATCCTGATGTGGGCCAGATGCCTCTGTACACTGCCTGGCTGAAAGACAAGGTGTCAGCTCCCATACGGTAGCTAATAGACTCACTTCTATTTGGCCTAGTGCTTAATCTCTCATCTGTAGAAGGAGAAACTTGTTTGTGCAAGTTTACTCAGAAAATATTTACTTAGGATTTTCAGGAATATGTTTTACATTGAAACACACGAAGCATCTGAGCTTTGAGACTAATCTAGCCAGCCTCTGGACACCACAAGGTTAGAAAGCATTTTACCTCTCTACCCTAAAACATCATGTTGGTCTTGTTTTGCTTCAGATGTGTTTGCTGGTTGAGGTTACATGGGAAATGCTATCAGTGCTTTAGGAAAAAAACCCAAACAACTCACATTAGCTAGAGATCAAGTACATTCTTCCAATGGAAAAACAAAGCAAAACTGGGAGTGTTTTGCAGTGTGACCCTCATAAGAATGTTTGCATTAGGCCTGCTGGCTTATTAAAATTCGCTTGTGTTTATATAAAGTATTTTGTACAAAACGCCCCTATACCACCAGGCAAAAAATCCCATGTGCCGTTATATATTGCAGAGGCACGCTGACAGGTTAGTTCTAACTCAGAGTTAGTGGTGGTCTCTGCAGACTTCCTCATGAAGAAAAAATTTTTTGAAGTTGATCTGTAGTTTTGGAGTGTTTTGCTCCGTTTACTTAAGGAAGAGACAAGAGCCCCTTGGGGGGAACCTTATCCAACAGAAGCACTAGAAGTCTATCTAAAAGCTATCACTGAAAAAGAAAAGGTAAAGGTTTGGTCAGGTCTCAATCAACATGCAGGAGTATAACATTAAAGATATGCAAGAAGAATTAACAGTTCTTGTCTAATTTTCTCAGCAAGCACTGTTTGTTCTTGTTGGACCATAACAATAAAGAGTTGAGTCACACCCTCCTCCTTTTACCTTGACCTAGAAATAGGATTCCACCTCCCTGACTACAAAACACGTTAAGTGCAAATAAAAAGCCATGCTTAGACACAGGAAGAAACTCCAGCCTCTTCTGGGCCAGGCTAACCATGCACAAGCACATGTTTTCTAGGAGAGGTTTAGAAAGACAAACAGCTGGCAGCACACCGAGAGGCTTTGGGAAGAGCCCACAGTACGTTCCTCTATTTACCTCAGGTAATCTCTGCGGCAAAGAATGAGATTTGCTTTTGTGTAAAGAGTTGATCCAACCTCTCCAAGACGACAGTCACAGCAGGCACACTTTAGACAGTCTTCATGCCAATACTTATCCAGAGCCTTCAGCAGGTACCGGTCCTTGATCTTCCGGTTGCAGCCAGCACAGCCCTTCTGCTTCCCTTTGGGTTGCACAGATAACATCGGCACACCTGCAACGCAAACAAAGCGCTTCCTTTAGAAGGCAGTCAAACAGCTGGAATAGGATTCCTGCAGTCGGGGTACCTCTGTGAGCAAATGCTGCTGCTGGTTTCATTACAAGAGTTCACATTGCATGAAGCTGATGGTCAAAGGAACTTAAACTTCGTGTGCTTGTCGCGGGGTAAGTGAGAGTGTGACACTTGCAGGAATGTGGCCCTTTTTTCCTAAGGGTAGGGGGCTGACACAAAGCACCAGACTTTTTTTTTTTAATTAACATCTTGCAGCAGAATAAACTGGCTGCAATCTCAACATTTGCTTTTTCCCTCATTACCAGTACCCTTGTGTTGTTAATTACCTGCCACAGGCAATTACGAACATCAGAAGGGCCACTGCTGTATGTACCCTCAGTACAACATCTTGGCTGGATCAAGCTTGATGGGGAAAGAGAGGAGTGGTACACCACTGTTTTTCCTCTTTTGCGAGCCCCGCTGGTCACAGAGGCCTCAGTGAAAGGTAAAATAAGTTACTCAAAAGCCCTCGAGGGCTGCTGAGAATAACCCAACCAGCACCCCACTACCACTAGTGAAGCCATGCTCCTTAAGTAAAGCAGAGCTTTGCTTTTCCTCTGGTACTGCTGGGGAAGGTAATAAAAACACGGGGAGTTTTTCCCTCCCTAGAAACACCTGCTGAGACTGCAAAGCTGGGCATGAGGCGGTGACAGGAGACTGGAGTCACTGGGTTGGTGGAAACTTGCTGTGGCCACCGTCCTCACGCTGCTGTCTCCAGCTTCTTCCTCCCCTCCAGCCAGCTACTGCCTCCCATGGTGAGCACCCACACGCTGCAAGACCTGCCACCCTCTCAGTTTAAGAGGAAGGCAGGGGAGGATTTTATGGCATCAACAGGCAAAGTGGAAAACTAACCAAGGATTGTACTGTGAGGGGGGAAGGGGACAGGAGCTGATGGAAGACGACATGAAGTCTCTAAGAGGCCAAAATCCCATCTTCTCTAGAGCCTTGACTTCACTTCGTTACCGATTTTTATTTTTACTGGTGCCAACCACTAAATTGCAATGGTGGGCCTGTAACGAGCATGCTGTGGGCTTAACCAAGGTCGAGGAGATGAGAGGGGACACTGGCTACGGTAGCAGGTGTCACTCCCTGGTCATATACACTTCCACAGAGTCGAGCCACCATTTCTGTAGGGAGCACCCGACATCTCAGAAAGTAGCCGCTTGATCATAGAATTATGAACACTCCCTTAACCAGAGAGGACCGAGTCAGAGACACTGGAATAAGTGACATTTGCTGCTTTCCTTAAAAGCCAGGGTGACCTGACGGTGGCTGATGCTCAGCACATGTAAAACCCACCACTCCCACAGTAATCATTGCTTTGTCAGAGCTGCAAGCAGACGACAATAGCACTTAAGACACCTCTACACAAACAGCGAGGTATTGATCCATTTGTTATCAAAGTGGGCTCAGCAGCACAGAGACAGGTCAAGTAACATTCAAAAACCCTTAAGGCTTAAAGAGCCCTCCTTGCTCTTTGCTGCGGCCCACTTGAAACCCGCCTGCAAAGTCGATATGAGCAAACTTCTCACGCCAGTGACAAACATGCAGCAAGTAAGTGAAAACTCAAATATGTGTTTGCCTGACACATATGCAGCCTGTAATGCTCCCAAGAGAAACTCTACGTACTCAGCCACAGAGAAACACCTGCACATTAGGAAAGAGGGCAAAGACAGGGAAGTGACAAAAGTGGAATATACTGTGGGTGCTGGAGGTCAGACTGCACAAGTCCTGTGCTCCGGGTGAGAGTTTCTAAGGAGAACGAGGAGAGCTGGACACGGCACCTTTTTTTTCCTTTTTTCTTTTTGCAGAGTGCACTTTGGGAGCAAACATAAGCTTAACTTTGTGAGTCATTTACTTTTCAGAAACCTCCGTCCCATGCTCTCTCCAAGTCCATGCCAGGGAAGTAGCACATCGGGAGAACAGACTGCCTTATTCTGAGTCAGAGAATGGCGCATACATGAATTTGTATTTGTGAACTGTGCAAGATCAATATCAGTGATGAAAGAAAATATTTTGCACCTATGAAAACTAAGACCTAGAAGTGCAAATAGTATTTTAAGATAGAAGCCTTAGACACCAGTGAATCATTGTCAACCGCCTGCAACTGGGCCCTCTAAACATGAGCTGTGTACCCTTAGAGGCAGATGAGGATTTCTTACAAGGGGGGGCCCACCATACAATTCCTTTTGCAGGGTTTGTCTAGGTGAATTTGAGGATCCTGGGTCTGGAGGTGCTGCAGATTTCAGAATGCAGATTCTAGAAAACCGCAGCCCCTTAAAACCCCTCGCAAGAAAACTGCTGCAAGTGGAGGGTTTGAGATCACCTCTGTGATTCAGAAATACAAGATCTTCAGCCAGACAGGACTTCCCACGGCCCTTGTGCACTTCTGAAACCAGTGCCCTTTTGGAGTTACAGCTGCCCCCCGTCCACCGTAACAGCAGCGTGGTCAAGCGCAAGGGCAGCCGTGCAGGGACAAAACCCGGGCTGCACCATTAGGGGTGGCTGGTTTGATAGCTAAGGGCGGGTTGGCAGGTTAGGGGGGTGTCCTGCGGGGGTACGCAGGCCTGGAGGGTGGGCTGGCTGTAGTGGTGGTTCTTGTTCCATCTGTGGCCCCGGCAGCCCTCACTCACTGTCACCTTCCCAGTTCCCTGCTCATGCAAGCACACCATTGTCTTAGGAGAAGCTTCTGCGAATAAGGGGAATGTAACACTTTGATTTTCTTCTAATAACTAGCAAAGGGACAGATATATATATTTTTAAACAGTACCTTAAGCAAGAAAAAGGTATGTATAAAAAAAAAGCTTTATAATGAAAAAAGGTACCATTTCAGAGATCATATGATGTTCAAAGCTGCTATTCCCACTCAGATAATAACGAGCAAGGTCAGCCTCTGCTGGTCAGGTTCAGTGTTTTGAAATTACATTTTGGTCTGTGAGGCTTCCCTCCGACATCCCAACCAACCGGTCTGCACCGAGCGCACACACCACTACGGAGAGTTGCAGCTGCAATTAGCTGGTGAGTTGACACAGCAGGCAAGGCGTGAAACAAAATTTCAGAAACTGCCAAACTTGATCAGCAAGGGTTCCTCGCATGCTTGCCATGTCATTTCCAAGCAACAAGAGAGCAGCATCAAAGAAGCTTAACCCCTTTCGTGGTCGGAAGCTTGCAGAAAGAGGACACAGCCGACACCAAACCTCACTTTCCTCCTCCTGCCTTCCTTCCAGCGAACCCCAAGCAGACTGGGCTTTGCAGATAAAAGCCACCTGGAGAGCTGCTCTTTCTTTTTGGAAATTTTCCCACTGCAAGACGGCAATGCTGCTTCATTGCTCCATGTAGATTTTTCCCCAGTACTTACCAAAAAGCCAAGATACCTAGTTCAGTTTGGTTAGGGGCATGTGGTATCTATTGGGGGCTGTCAAGAAACAAAGAGCTCACCTTCCACAAATTCCACGTGTGCTCTGCAGGCAAGGATTAGAAAATGAGAAGTAGTGTTGCAGAGGTAGGAAAATTAACAGCTGGACACTCACCCGTTTAAATAAATGATCACAAAGGGAATGCTGATTGATTACCAAATTCTGAAAGTACCATCAAGTTGCGCTCTCCTCCCCTGTTGCTAGCCATCCATCGCTATCTTTTCTTAGAAACAGTAGATGAAGCCTTTCTATTTTTGGCTACCTACACTCCCTTCTTTGCCCTTTACAACTTAATAGACTCGCTGCTGGTAAATACAAAACAAAACCTGTTCTGAGTGCTCGGAGCTCCAATGCACATTAAAAAATTATAGACACCACCTCTGGACATACTGAAATTTATGGCTGTGTCTAAAGAGGCTGTTATTGTATTGAGTAATCTAAACTTTACCTCTATTCACAGTCGGACAAACTAGCTTTAATCAGCCTGTATCTTCTCAGTCGGGGTCTTTCTGTAAAATTATTCAGCTGGCTTTATAACACAAGTGTCCACTAAGTACACCTCTAAATTTTTCTAAGCCATTTTACTGATATTTCTATTCACATGGCAATCAGCTGCAGTTCCTCTAAGGGCACTGTTCATAAAGCCTCGTTTCCAAGAGAGCCTGGGAAGATTTTATAAATGGTAGACCTTCTAAATAACAGTTATCTGCGACGGTGCTATGGCGTACGGCTCCACAGTGCTCTGGTCTGCAAGAGCGCTACTGGTCCCCTCTGAAAGCATGGAAGTTCACCACCTAATTTCTTTAATGCAACTCTAAAGGTTAATTGGTCTGAAAGAGTAATGCGGGACTGCTGGCTAATGATATATGCCTCAAGGCTTTGCAGCTTGCCTGTATTTTATACAGTCAAGTCCAGAGCATAAACCACAGGTGATATCACTGGGAATTTTCAGACCCCCCTCCGACTTCCCACAGTCCCCCTCAGCCTCCCCCTCTCCCACCCTACACCCACATGTGCGGAGTGAAAGCGGCAGGAGCTGAAGGGGGTTCTCCTCCACCTGCATTTCACGCCTTGTTAGAGGGGGCTCGGAGAAGTGCCGCCACTGCTCTCCTCATTACCACTGCGGAGAACTAAACCCAGCCCTAATGAGGAGAGCGAGAGCGTACAGTACGGGGTGGGAGGAGGGACGTCCTCCCACACTCCCTAAGGAATCTGGCCAAAATCTTCAATTTGCCATTTATGACAGCTAATTAGTTATTCTATTCAAAATCTTTGCTTTAAATAAAAGAACTAATTATACACAAAGGTCAGTCCCCCACCTCCTGTGAAGCACACATAATTGGCTTATTTCCCCAACACTGTGCGTATGTTTTACACAATGCTTTCTGGCAGATGGCTTTAACT